ACAGATAGTATGGTACTTTCCTTAAGAATACCTAGAAAACCTAAACTGTATAAATACCACGGGAAAGAACAGAAATGTGTCTATAGGCTCCTGCCCTGGTCTCAAACCTTAGGTCTAAGGGATTCAGTATCCAGCAACATCGTGAGACGCTCATTCCAGCTTAGTGGTCCCACAGAAGCTTCCTTGAGATTCTGAAGGAAGAAGGACTTGGAGGAAAACTGAGTAAAAGAACAAGAAGAGAAAGAGGAACCGTTACCAGAATGATCCCATAGGTCCTCTAGAAAAACAGATCCAAATGTCGTTATGGCTACCAGTGGTCTGTTTCTCTAATGGTGGCAGTCAGGTGGGTCCCAAGAGAAAAGGAAAAACCCCAAGAAGTTGCTGCATTTTCTAGCCTTTCCTTGCTATGAGAAAAGCCTGGTGCAAGTGATTTAAAATAGTAAAAGATTGATTTTGTCCTACGGTTTCCTAGGCTTCAGTCCATGGTTGGTTTGTTTCATTGCTGTGGGCCTATGGCGAGGGTGAGCATCATGGTGGCATGCACATGTGACAGAGAAATTCCTCACATGGTGATATCAGGCCAGTAAGCAGAATGGAAGAGAAATATTGGGAGGGGCAGGTACACCCTCCCTAGGCATGTTTGTAGGGTTCACTTTCTCCAACTGGGGCTCACTTCCTCTTTTCCATCACTTCCCAATAATATCATCAGGGAATTAATTTATTAATGGATCAATTTACCAATGATGTCAGAGGTATCAAATCACAATCCCCTCTTGGTGATGGGATCCTCAAAATGAGGACCAAGGTTTCTGCATACGAATCCTTCTCAGGACACATCATATCCAAACTATGGTGCAACTGAAGCTCAGGAAACCTTGGGCGTCCTCCACCCAGAAAAGCCATGGTTAACACCATCTTCACTAAGCCACCATCACCACATTTCCTATTCATCTACGATATGGGTCAATAAGCCTTTGCTTCCCATTGGTCACACCTCTGTGCGATCAAAGCACCTCCCACTAACAAGTCTTCAACGATTGCGCCTATGGGAGGGGGTTATCGAGATCTACTACAGCGTTGAGTTCATCAGTTCTAAGAAGAGTTCTAAAAGTATCTCCTTTCTCCATTGACTATTCCTGCAGCTTCCATCTCAGGACTCACAGGCAAAGTGCACGTGTAGAGGGTTAGGACGGAGCTGGCTTCAGCTAGTTACAAACCTGCTGGAGGTGGACATTCCCAGAACCAGGACACGGCTGGGCGAGAACCGAGGGTGCCGCATCTGGGGAAGTCTCCCTGGTGTTGCTGCTCTGAGAGATTCGAGCAGAGCACCTGCCACATAACACACCTCAGATGTGTGATTCCTCCTTGGTGATCAATATCGCTCCTATGTTGCCAGCTGGGGTCTTGTGTGCGGCCTGCAGGGACACTCTGGTCTGCAGTTGCAATGGGTATGGCAAGTCTGCCACTTGGAACACATTTAGACTGTGTGTTAAAAATGGATGTAGCCACCCCACTTAACTGAGTGTCAGTGGTGGAGGAAGCTTGAATGAGCGCAGCCCAGGCTAGTAGATGCTATGCCGCGTTACCTCTGCTTTCCTCCCAGGGTCTTACAAGCATCTTGTTCAGACGGGAGGTACTTTCCTCGTCTTATTTGATAAACATGTAAATTTTCTGATTCCTTTTGTGCTGAAAACCATATCCAACTATTCATATCATGTCATAAATTTCTTACACTACTAAAAATATAATTTTCAAATTTTAAAAAAAGAATATGACTTCTCTGGCATTTTGAGTTTTTGTTTGTTTGGTTTGGTTTGGTTTTTTGGTGTTTTTTTTTTTTTTTTTTTTTTTTTGCTGACTTGATTCAATTGATTCCTTTCATGTTAGCTGTCCTGAAACACTTGGAAACTCCTGATTATATGTTCACTTTCAACATGAAGTTATGGGATGGGCTGGAGAGATAGCTCAGCAGTTAAGAGCTGTCAGAGGACCTGGGTTCAATTCCCCCATCCACATGGCTGCTAGCAAGCATCTGTAACTTCAGTTACAGAGGATCCTCACCCTCTTCTGGACTCCACAGGCGCTGAACATATATGTGGCTCATGATATACATGTGGGCAAAACACCCAGGAGCATAAGACAAAAAATATTTTTCAGATTTGAGTTATTAAAAAAATTGTGATTTTAAGATATTAGATAGAAACACCACCAGATATGAAAGAATAAGTATTGTATTGCTGCACTTGTATAAGTACCCAGGATGATAACATTCCTAAAAACACATAATGAATTAATAGGTTATGAGGGCCTGAGATGAGAGAGAAATATAACGTTACCTAATTCCACAGATTTGGATAGTAATCATGAAAAACATCTGGAGATAGACACTGGCAATATGACTGTACTTAATAGCATGAAGTTGAAAAATAAAAACCATTCACTATAGAAAAATTTGTGTCACACATATTAAAATGTAGGACTCCTCATCCACTTAGTTGTAGACTGATTCTGTACACCCAGGCACGGCATAGATGGTTGCGCAACCTACGCAGCTTTGGACCTGACCTGACTGGGGCCATTACTGGAAATGACCAAAGGACAGAGACGAGTCTAGAAAAGCTGGGATCAGGTGGCCATGCATGCTGATGAAGCCGCACCACCAGCGGAAACTTAAGTGCATTGATTTTATACGGCGTGAAGGAAGAGGCAGGTAAGCCAATCTCAGTGAGAGGTCTCTGCAGGGGAGCAGTCTCAGGCTGGCGACATCTGGATGAGGAAGCCGTGCGTGATAGTTTCTGTACACACTGGTTTTAGGTAAAGGTCAACATTTCATCATCATCCATACCTGAGCCAAGTGAAGGCCTTGCCATTCCCCTGGGTCTGAAGTATTGGTGTCCTTGCCATGGCCATGCGCATGTCAACAAGGCGCATTCACCCAGGCCTTCATCCCCTCCACGCAGGCGCTGATCTTAGGCTAAGTCATTTCGGAAGGGTTTTCTGCCCTATTCTTAGGATAATTTATCTTATTATATTTTTCAAGTTGCCAAATAATTTTCTTACATAGAAATAAGCAAAGCTCTTAAATTTCCTTTTCCGTTCCCACGCATATTATTTCAGAACTTCTGAGTTGGATGTTGCCACCCTTATTAATAATAAAATGTTTTCAAAAGGAAAATGACCAGCAGGAGTTTTACTGTCATTCTCCAGAATCAGTATGGACATCTCATTCTCCACTTGTTTTTCTACCCTTCCAACTGCTCATTTCTCTCTTCATTTTCTATCAGTATACTGAAGGTTTAGATTTAAATGTTCACTTCAATGCATACTCTTCTGGTATGTATAGCATAATGACATGGCATCTGTGATCTTCAACTTCCTGGTTTTTGTTCATAGACATTATTTCTGAGCTTCATCTGCATTTCACAAAGAGATTGTCAAGAGATTTGCTCTTAATTCCTAAATATGATCAAGGCTTTCAGATCCTGTCCTTATTACCTTTGAATGAAGAATTTCCTGGATTTCTCTAAAACAAATAAGAGACATGGGAGGGGAGATAGGGTTGAGTGGACACAGTAAGCAATTATATACGAGAACCATTTCAGGGTGACTCACTGGTCTCCTGAGGGAAACAGTTACTTCCCTCCATAAGAGGTCAGAGTGGCTCAATGTAGCTCAAGCATTTTATTTAAGCGTTACATTTATTTTATGCATTTTCTTTTTGTAAGGACCTGGTTTGGCTTTCCTCTGCCTCTTCCATACAGTACTACCCAGAATGTTGGGTGGGATGGCTGGAAATGTGTTTCAAGTAGACTTCCTCCCCAAACTACAACCATATGGTTGAGTATGAAGCGGAACACACTGCAGAGATGTTCGCTTCCCCCAAGAGCATGTCTGCAGTCCTGTCCTTTGGAAGGTGTGTCTGAGTCACCAAAGCCATAATGTGCCCTTCACATTGTTCTCACAGTGGCAAAAAACTGTTTTTCTAAAGAAGAAGGCAAGTCTTCCATCTTGTCTCAGGATGCTAATGGCATCACCGGTGGCAAAGTGTTCACCACAGCCCATTGCTAGTGCAGCTGGATAACACTTCTGTCAGAGCTTTCTGGATTAAAATACTGGGGTTTATTTTTTGTTGGATTCCATGGCATACATTCAGTAAGGAAAGCGAGACTCTTTCTCGTTTTTCCAATAGTGATTCCTATCACCACTCAATTGTTGTAATACTTTTCCCTTTAAAATGCCTCTGCACTTCACCTTGCCTTCCAGATATACCGCAAGTTCATTCCGCTGCACACACGGACTACCTAAAATGCCACAGCTAACAAACCACCACAACCATGGCGGTATTGTCTTAACAAAGTTAGCAGAGTAAACTAATCATAAAAGCAAGCACCCATATCTCTCTTAGATAAATATAGACATTGGCACATCAACGTTTATAGTTATATAGCTCAAAGCTCAGGGCATTGATGTTCTCTGATTATTTTTTTTTCCAGAGCCGGAGTTTGAATCAAGAGCCTCACACGTGACAGGCAAGTGGTCTACCGCATAGCTATAGCTTCAATCTCTCCATTTATTCTTCAAACTTTCTATTAGAGGTTTACTCTTGTTCAACTCTTCCTATGTTGTTCTACACATGTGAATGCTCTTTGCATGTAAATGAGAAGCTATGTAAAACTCCATGTAAAACAAGCAGCTTAGTGGGCTTCTTGAGATAGCATGCTAAACAATGCCAGAATGGAAAGAACACCACTACACTGTGACTAGGAAACCTTGGTCTGGCCCTGGCTACCTTCAGAGCATGAAAAACATCCCTTCCCCACTCTAGTCTGGATTTTGTTCGAAAATGCAAAGAGTGTGTGATAAACTCAGAGGGTTGATAAATATTTGCTGAGGCTATGACAGAGAAAACATTGCGTCCCTGCACTAAACCCCTGGGAACATTACCAATGTCCCCAACTGTGCCGAGGGGAGGAAGTTGACATTTAGAGATAATAAAAAAGGGGGGGCAGCATCTTTTGTAGCCTCAGCCACATCAGTGGTACACCCAGCTAAAGAATATATAAATGAGCAGCTCAGCTCAGTTCTCAGTGAAGGCTCTTCCTGGCAAGATGAAGTCCTCAGTCTTCATCCTTTCTCTGCTCCTCATTCTGGAAAGACAAGAAGCTGTGGTTGGGCAGTATGGTGAGTATAGAGATCGTAGCTAGAGAGAAAGTCACTCGGGGAGAGTATCCTTCATGGAGTGAGCAATTCCTTCCATAACGCAATCCTTTTGATGAGACTTAATTCTTCTCTACCCAAACCCAAATCCCTTGAGGGAACATCAACAGTTTTATGATGCAATTTTTGGAATAAGACTCGGAATGAACTATGCAGATGATATAACAAGCATTCTTGTTATAAATTACCAGGTGGAACAAAAGGCGGCTTCACAAAAGGTGGCTTCACAAAAGGCGGCTTCACAAAAGGTGGTTTCACGAAAGGCGGCTTCACGAAAGGTAGCTACACTACTAGCTCGTCGGGATTTATGAAAGGTCATGAAAGTTATGGGCTCAAAGGAGGAAGTGAGGATGCAGCTGAAGAAAGTTCTTTCATGCAAACAAAACGTCAAGTATATGGCCAGGATAGTGAAATGTCACAGTCGCGTCTTTCACAAGAACACACAGGAGTGAAGGGGGCTGCACTTTGTCGTAAAGGACAAGTGTCCCAACTAAAATCCCAAGAATCCCAAGTGAAATCCTATGGACAAGTGAAATCCCATGAATCTCAACTGAAATCATCCTATGGACAACTAAAATCCCAAAACTCCCAAGTCAAATCCTATGGACAAGTGAAATCCTATGGACAAGTGAAATCCCATGAATCTCAACTGAAATCATCCTATGGACAACTAAAGTCTCAAAATTCCCAAGTGAAATCTTATGGCCAACTAAAATCCCAAGATGCCCAACTAAAATCCTATGGTCAACGAAAATCCTATGGTGAAGAATCCCAACTGAAATCCTACGGTCAACTAAAATCCCACGATGGCCAACTAAAATCCTATGGCCAAGTAAAATCTCAAGATACCCAACTAAAATCCTATGGTCAAGCAAAATCCCAAGATGCCCAACTAAAATCTTATGGCCAAGTAAAATCCCAAGACACCCAACTAAAATCTTTTGGCCAACAAAAATCCCTAAAAGGTTTTTCCCAACAAACTAAGCATAAAGGGTTTGCTATGAATGAGGAACTCTCCCAGGTCCGTAAGCAATATGATGATGATGAGAGCTCTGTGCAGCAGAAGTCTAGCCAGGCGAAAACAGAGGAGGATTTATCCCAATTTGGGCAACAACGCCAGTTTGGACAAGAACGCTCACAATCCTACAAAGGATATCTTGAACAGTACAAAAAGAAATCACAAGACCACTATCAACAAAGAAGAAATTTTAATCAAGGTAACTATTTTACAAAGGGAGGAGCAGACCTATATCAAACTCAACTCAAGGGATAATACAGTCATCGACCAACTAAAGAGCAAGATCAATATCAAGGTATGTTTCTACCAATAGGAGAGGTATTTATCCTGATACTTACATATGGTATATAAGAAAGCCCTGGGTCCATCATGGGATTGATACCCATTTGTTCCTATCAGCAGAAGTATTATGTTACAAATTTTGAGAAAGATAATGAGCATGCCCTGGCAAAATGAGTACTAGGTATGAGAGAAGCAGAGTAAGCTACCCAGGTTAAAAACGGGTACTGAACTCTGACATTAAGGAAGTATTTTTCAGGGTTTTTTTTAAAACATAGATGGAGTTTATATTATTAAATATGTACCACCTATGAAATCATATTTAACATTTTATGATATAATCTTATTTTTTCTTATAATTTGACTTGGTTTCTTGCTTATATTAATATAAGGTAATAATACCTTATTTTTCCAGATAATACCAGATCTTTCACCACACCAGGGTGTTCTTGAGTTTCTGTTACCTCCGTTTTCCACCAGAACCACAGGGTTAAGGATTAGCTCTCTTTTCCACCAGATAGAAGATATGATTACAAAGATCTCTGTTTGGGGCAGACACTATCTTCAATTGTGTGCCTAATGATGAGCCTGGTAGAGTCCGATGGACAGTCCCAGGCTTGTGGTCACGTTTGTGGCCCTGGTTAGACTCAGCTGTTCATAAAATAAAACAAAAAGACACGATTGTGAGAGGGGGGCTTGTAGGGAGAAGTGGGGTAATCAAGATGAACAGAAGACATAAGATGGCGGGCTCGGCAGTAATCAGAATACACTATATATGAGTATGAGAGTCTCAAAACAAAGTAAAAGGTTGTTTTCTTTTTAAATCTGTGCTTGTGATACAGGACCAGTACAAAAGTGAACACAAGGTAGGAAGTGAACACAGGTCATTGCTAGATGTTTGCAACCTTGGGAGTGAAACCTGAGCCCAAACAGAAAGACACAGTTCACTACTTTTAAGTTTGCACTAAGAAAGGGAGAGCAACAAAAACCGCGGGCACACTTGAGGTCCGTCGGAGTTATTAGTGGCTGAGCACCCTAATTTGTAGAAACTGGTTCTGATAGAACTGAAAGAGGCCAACACCCATTCGTTTACAGCTCAACTTCTGACTTCCCTTGTTTACCCCTTCTCTTTCTAGGACTCACCTTGCCAGAGTCAAGTCTGTGATACCTTCCAGATGCCGCCTATAATGTGGTCCCAGATCTCTGGTTCATGTACAACTGTCTACTCACGTTTGCTTTTCTGTAGGACTTCTAACCCCGGAGCTTCCTCAAATGCTTGCTTTCCAATAAAAATAGAACTTTCTGCATCACTTGCTTTTGTTTACTGACGTCTGATTCCTACCAATATCTGGGTTTGGGAACACTCCTAGTGGGCTGTTTCAAAAAGAGGAGACAACTGTGTAGCAATGGGGAAAACAGCAATGACATCCACATTTGTAGATGTCTGGGTCACAAAAAAGAGGTACTAGAACTGTGCCTGACATCCCGTGAGTCACCTAAAGTCAACTTTAAAATCCCTCAAAACTCTTTTTCTTCAGAAACTGACCACCAGAATTAAAAGTTCACTGGCCCAAAAAGGTTGGTTTCCAGTTGCAACTCTGCTATGGAAACATCTATTTTCAGGCTGGAGAGCTGGCTCAGCCATTAAAGGTTCAACTCACAATCAATATAAGAAACATATCAGCTTTCAATTAAAATTGTTTTTCTCTCTAAGTTTAAGTCCACCATTTACATAAAGGAACATTTCCTCCAACTGTCTTTAACTTTGTCAAATCAAGTAAAGCTTATGTGGCCCCACAGCCAGGAACTGGACTGGCAGATCACTTACTAGTACATTTGATACTTAAGAAAAAAGTAGAAGGACTTGGTGTTATTTAATAAGACTTGCCCCTGCTACCACAGCCACAGAGAAACATGTGCAGGTCGCAGAGGCACGTTCAGTTTTATTCTGGAAGGTTTAGTCACTTCAATAGGTATAGAGAGGAGGGGGGTTTTTCTTTTGCTATAAATTCGAAGGGTTTGAGTACCTGTCTGGATAGAAACACAAGAATTCTGATGAAGTCTTGAAGCAGAATGGATATAGGGAGCTCACATGTAATGGAAACCATACCTCGCTCAGACACCATAGGCTCTCAAATAAAAAGCCTTGTGCCGGGTATGCTTACATCTTTTTGAGTCGTTAGCCACTGGGATGGCACCCCCAACATTGCAAGCTATTGCCATTGCTTCTAGTTATAAAGTTAAAATAAGACTCTACCACTGAAGACACTACATACCTGAGTCATAGGACACAGAGAAATCAAGTTGAGACTGATCTGGAAGCTTCATCCTAATGACTAGCTTTCACAGTGCTTACTAGGGAGGAAAAGTCATCAACACTGTTACCTAGCTGTGGACCCTATGAACTGGAATAACAAAACTGGCCTGATAAGATATGCCTACTAGTGTAATGGTGGCACAAGTGTTATGAAAGTCATCAGTCAACCACTTTCTGATTGAACTTGAGTCCCACCCACAGATGGAACCAATGCCTGGTACTATTAACTGCATCCAAAAGAGCTACGGACTGTTCATACTTATCCTGCATTTGTTCCATAATTTTATTCTGAAAGTACATTGATGTGCGATTCCCCCCTGGATGCTCTAAATATGTTTTATTATTATTTGTTAACAATCTGCTTTGGGTTTATGGCAAGGCAGGAATTCCAAGCAGAGATAGAGGAGAAAAGAAAGTGGAGTCAGGGAGACGCCATGTAGCTGCCGAAGGAGACAAACTCTGGAACCTTAACAGTAAGCCACGAGCCTCATGGCAATACACAGAATAATAGAAATGGGTTAATTTAAGATGTAAGAGTTAGTTAATAAGATGGGCTGAAGAGATGGCTCAGTGGTTAACAGCACTGACTGCTCTTCCAGAGGTCCTGAGTTCACTTCCCAGCAATCACAACCATCTGTAATGAGATCTGGTGCCCTCTTCTGGTCTATAAGCAGGATACATATAAATAAATAAATGAATAAATAAATAAATAAATATTAAATAAATAAATCAAAAAAAAGAGTTAGTTAATAAGAAACCTAAGCTAATAGGCCAAGTAGTGTTGCAATATAGTTTCTGTGTGATTATTTTGGGTCTGGGAAGTCAGGAAACTAATGAATAACCTCCGTCTACAGTACATTACTTAAATATTTTCACAATCTGTAAATGGAAAATAATTTTGTCCAGAATCAATAAAATCATAACTACTATTTAATCATAATTATTTAAATAATAATAAATAATATGCTTATTTTTGAGAGTAGGCTGTTAAAAGGTAGATAATTTGGGGGTAAAATAAATAAATTTTCACACGTGAGAAGAACAGCTAATAGCCAGAGCTGGGGCTGAGACTAACTAGGCTGATAAAAAGCCTTCTAAGCATGAAAGAGGCCCGAAGTTCAGTTTGCAGCCTAATGTATACACCTGCAATACCAGCGTTCAGGAAGCAGAGGCAAGCGGACAAGAAACTCAAAATCATCCTCACCTCAACTGTGTAGCGAATACTAGGCCAGCCCCAGTGTATTCAGTGCACTAGTCAGGGTTCTCTACCAGAACTGAGAGAAAGAATGGGGGGGGGGGGGGGAGATCATCTAATCTGTGGTCTGAGTAGTCTAACAAAGGTTATCTCCTGATATGGTGCTGGAGTCCAAGAGGATTACTAAAGAGCCTCCAGTCTATGTTGAAACCCCAAAGAAGTGTGTTCTAACACTGGTGAAAGGTTGCCTCAGCAAATGAACTTGACAGCGAGGGAGAGGGCAAGCAAGCAAGCAAAAAGCAAAAGTTTCCATCTTCCATGTCCTTTTATGTGGGCTGCCACCAGATGGTGTGGCCCAGATTTAGAATGGGTCTTTCCGTAACACATGATCCAATCAAGAAAATCCCACAGGCATGCCCAACTGCTTGAGTTTTAGTTGATTCCAGATGTAGTCAAATTTGACAACCAAGATTAGCCGTGTGTGTGTGTGTATGTGTGTGTGTGTGTGTGTGTGTGTGTGAGAGAGAGAGAGAGAGAGAGAGAGAGAGAATGTGTGTTATCAGGTGCCAAGGTTAGATTATAACAGTTTGAATTGACAGTTTACCCACAAATATATGTTTACTGTTATTTGCTAGTGGTGATATTTGCAAATAAAACCTTTAGAAAGGGGGGCTGGAGAGATGGCTCAGAGGTTAAGAGCACTGACTGCTCTTCCGGAGGTCCTGAGTTCAATTCCCAGCAACCCACATGGTGGCTCACAACCATCTGTAATGAGATCCAGTGCCCTCTTCTGGCCTGCAGGCATACATGGAGGCTGAACACTGTGTACATAATAAATAAATCTTTAAAAAAAAAAAAAAACTTTAGCCGGGCGGTGGTGGCGCACGCCTTTAATCCCAGCACTCGGGAGGCAGAGGCGTGCGGATCTTTGTGAGTTTGAGGCCAGCCTGGTCTACAAGAGCTAGTTCCAGGACAGGCACCAAAGCTACAGAGAAACCCTGTCTCGAAAAAAAAAAAAAAACTTTAGAAAGAAAGAGCCTAAAGCTCTTTTAAAGTGGGTAGGGATATGGGGAAGATCTGAGAGGAATTGGGGGAGGGAAAAACAATCAAAATACATTAAATGAAAAAATAACTATAAATAAATAAATGTAACCATCGAAGACAAAATTATACAGGACTACTTTAACCTTCCATCTTTATTGATGGGATCCTCATTTTTCTGAAACTGGGGCTTACTGTGTTGCCTAGGCCAGCCTTGAACTTGTGATGCTCCCATCCCAACCTCATTAGTGCCTGGGATGACAGGTATGTGTAACCAGACCCAAGTGCTGGTGTCCTTTTGAAAAGAATTTCTTGAGAGCTGAGGTGTCTTACACACATGCAGACCAAAGTTCAGACCCCAGCACCCATGTAAAACTGTCAAGCATGGTGGTGCTCTCTTGCAATCCCAGTACTGTGGAGGCCAAGGCAGACAGGTCCCTAGGGATTGCAAGACAGACGGTCTAGACTAGTTGGTAAGCTTCAGCCGTTGAAAATCCCTGTCTCAAAGGCCTATCTGAATAACAGCAGGGGTTGTCTTCTGGCTTCCACATTCATACACAAGCAGCCACTCACACATGCATAAATCTTGCAACTGTGCATTAAAAAAAAGAATGCCTGGAGAAATGTGATACACCTACAAAGAATCCCTGCAAAGAGGAGAGATTGGAATAATCAAATTTAGTCTTTCTGGCTCCAGCTTATTTCACTTAATAGTCTCCATTTCCATCCATTTTAATTTCATTCTTTACATCCAAATAAAATCCTGTTGTGCATATGCCCCAGATTTTATCCATTCATCTGATGGGAGAGGTGGTATCGAGGCTTTTCCATATCCTGGCCATGGTGATTAACAATATTCAAGCAGTAAACATGGGTGTGTAGGCATCTCTCTGGTATGACAGCTTTGATTCTTTGTGTATATGTCCACGTGTGGCAGAATTAGATCAATATATTAGTTCAACTTTCTGGTTTCTGAGGCCCCTTCATACTAATTTCACGTTGGCTACAGCAGTTTACACTCAGACCATCAGTGTGTAAGGAATTCTCCTCCCCTGTATCTACCCTAGCTTTTCAGCTCACATGTTTTCTTCACATAGTTATTGTGACAGCAGAGAAAGGGAAACAAATGAAGTACATGGACATTTTCATGATTTTTAGGTATATTGAACCATTTTTCACATACATTTTTAAAATGTGTTCATATATTAGTCATCTGTGTTTCTTCTTTTGAGAACTGTCACTGGATTTATTTTCTCACTTTTTGATGAGATTGATTTTAATGCTTGGTTTTTATTATTCATTGAAGATTCCATGTTCCATGTGTAGGTGGCAATGGATGTTATATATGATTTAAAGTACACCAGAATACACATTTTAGGCAAACATCACTCTAGATTTTTATTTAATATATTTTTCTCTTTCTTAAATTTATCTTTAAATATAAAAAATGTAAATTTAAATGTAAATTTATTATTAAAAACATCTGTTTTTCTAAATGCACAGCCCATTCAATCTGTCTACACATCTTTGCCAGTGCAGTCACTGGCAATGGGCCTTCTCCACACTTAGTGTTTCTGGTGTAAGTTACTGGGGTTCAGTGTCCTGAAGCAGTTTGGTAAGTCCTTTACTAAGACCTCCTCAAGGGCTTCCTGACCAGAGAACCCCAGTGATAAGCTTCTAGATGAGACCTTTCTTACCACTTGGGCATGCTATCTTAAATGCTATTGGCTGAAGGAGCGGAATG